GCATAGTATTACACTGCAGGATCTGCCATAGTTCATTTAACTACTTCCCTATTGATGAATCCTTGGGCTTTGTCCAGTCTTTGCTACCTATTACAAACAATCCTATAGTGTATAACCCGGCACATATGTCTACAGGTATATATAGCCTTAGGATAAATCCTCAGGAGTCTTACAAATCCTTTAATAAAATCTTCGAAAGGAATGTTCTGAGATAGTGTGACTAGGTTTCCAAATTAGAACCTCAGCTTTCCAGGCATTAACTCTCACATTCCATCAAGAGTAGTTCCTCATTTTCAGCCTGTCAATTATGCCTTTATATTTTTTCCAATAAGGAATTTAAAAAATATTTAATCTGCATCTCCTGCAACCAACCATAGTTGGCATGCTGTTTCAAAAAAAGAAGAAGAAAAAAGACTAAAATGCAGCTGAATTGTGCTCCAGTTAATGAATTGCAGGCTGTAGAAAATTTTTGATTTTTCTTCATTCAACATATAGAAGCATCTCTAGAGTGAAGTCTCAGGTGGGGATGATGGGTTAGAAGGTGAGGACTATAGGGTGTACCCTGCCCCAGCCAGCTCATAGTGCTACCCCAGCCTCAGGGCCAAATACTCCTTGGCCATTTTCATTAGCATCACTTTTCATTTCTCTTAGTAATTCTTCATTTTCCCATAGTTGCTTTTGGAAAATAGGTTTATAGTTTTGGTGAAACAGGCCTTGGTAAGTGTGCTTTATAACCAGGCCATGTATAGTAAGTATGCTATTTTTATATGATCCCCCCCAAAGACTTTTTCTTATTTATTATATTCCAGGTATATGAGATCAGGATGGAAAAATCCTAGGGCACTTAATTTACATGAGATGTTGGGAGAACATTTACCAATGCAGAAATATGCACAAGTGATGTGGCAGTGAGAAGTGCCATTTAAAAAAAACAAATATATATATATATATCTGAAGAAGGTACCCCAGCCATAAAATTATCTTTCCACATAGTACTTCTCTTTAGTTTGGCTCCATGTAGGTGGAGGTGTTTTGTTTTTGTTTTGTTTCATTTTGTGTTTTTTTTTTTTATAATTATAGCATGAGAGAAAGTATTAAAAATAAACCATGAAGTTGACAAGGTACAGCAAATAGCCATCCAGAAAGCTTTTTTTAGCTCTAAAGCTCTCTTCCTTGGGAATGACAAAAACTACAAATTGTAGAACTGTCTAATCTCTGTGAAGAGTGTCTAGTCCCAGCTCTAGTTGAAATTATCTTATATTTTTAATTTAATTTTATTTAAAAAAAATTTTTTTAACGTTTTTATTTATTTATTTGA